AAAAAGAGGACCAAGAAATCATACTGAATGACAAGATCACCGCCAAATTTACAACCGGACGATCCTAATGGTAGATATGAGTATTATAATTTAATTAGGTAGCACTAGATCATCAAATCCATCACCTAAAATTAGTTGGAAGTACTACGTAACACATCTCATTACATCATTTATGTACTCACGACTAAGAATATGTTATTTGGGGCACATTAATATCACAGAAAATAAAAACTGGGGGCAAACAGAAACCACAGTTAAAGTTCCACTGATATGTAAATGGGCATAGATTCAGGTCCTAATTGGAGTTCAAACATAGGGAAAAAAAACAGAGAGAAACACACGCACAGAAACACATACACAGTATGAGAGATAAAGCATACCAAAAGGGGCGATGTAATACGCTTCTCAACAGCAAGAACCACCCCCTCCTTAGTCTTAATCCCTATTGCAGTGGATCCCAACTAAAACAGTACAAAATCAAAGAAATAAAATGAGACAACGTACGTGTAAAAAGACAACCCACAAAAATGGATAGATAAAGAGAGATTCCTAGAGCATACGGATCGGTCTAAGTATAACCTTGATAGCTTCAATTGCATACTCGACTTGAAACAATCGCCCTTCTGGAGAGAAGGTGTTCACTCCTCTATCATACTCAGTCCTTAAAATATTTAAAACAAAATTAAAATCAGACAGGAATACTATATACAGAGCTGAAATGATCACTACTATAATTCGAAGAATTTTACCTCGTGAGGAACATTTTTCGGACAGAAAAATTCAGAACTTCCAAGTATACTACAGAGAGATTACAGTTGAGTGTTAAATTGAGAAATTAGAAATTATTCGGCAATAAGTAGTGGATCTGAGTAGCATAATGCTAATCACCTTAACCTCAACTATGAAGAAAATGAGAAAGAGGTGAAAGATTCTTCTTCTTCGTGTCGAACAAGGCAGCTCTGCTATTCTTATTCTTCTTCTTCTTTTCTTTCTCCTTTTCTTTTATTTATTTTTTCTCTTGGGACAGTGTAGTTAGGCAATGTAAAATAGTTTTGGGTTTTCATTATTGGGCTTTAGTCTTTAAACTCCACAACCATGACTATTGGAGTTCAACAAAGAAATACTTATGCCGCATAAGTACACATAAAGTCGTTTTATTTGCTCACGTCACAAAATAACACGTATATAAAATTAATACCATTTATATACCCATGAAAAGAATTTATACCATTTATCGTAATCTATACTTATATTAAAGGGGGTACTATTTACTAAATGTAGTATGTAGAATAGTCAACCCTAATTAATGATTTGCTATTTTTATCAATCATTTAATTAATGCATCTAATATTTTTGGTATGCAAATCAAATTAGCATTTAATTAGTTCCTAAAATATTGGGTATGCAATATTAATTTAGGAATATCTATGTAATTCCTAAAATGTAGGTATGCAATACGTAAATGAAGATTTTTTATTTTTTTTTAAATATAAAATATTGCAACACTTACAACTATTTCAGTTATTTTTTTATTTTATTTTATATATAAAATTTAATCAATATTTAATGCATCCTACAAAATTGGATTTAGTTTAATTCTCCATACAATTGGTTGTAACTTTTTCAGTTGTACATTTTTTATTTATTTATTTTACACTTTTAAATTAATAAAGCTCTCCGAAAATAACAAATCAAATGATTTATGAAAGTTTTTTTTTTTTTACAATTTTAAATCTATATACCCAGCTTTGCATGGACGAGTTTAAGAAATTTTCATAACCCAGCTTATAAAATTCCATCTCCAGTAAAAAAAAATCACATCCCTCATCTATCGTAACAACTTTAAACGTAAATAAATAAAAGTCTAATTACTACTATAAATCCATTATCTAAATAGATTTTTTAAAAATGTAAATTTCACTTGTCTCATTACTAATATTTTAGATACTTTTAAATATTATGTGTATAATTTTTTTTTACACATTTGCTCTCTCTCTCTATATATATATACATATATGAAGGTTAAATGAAGAATTTTTAGACATATTTTCCTTACGGGTAGTTTAGAAAAATTTAGGTAGCTTCAAACATTATTTGTGAATAATATAGAATATTTTAGATGTTTTTATAGATGTTATAAAATATTTTAAGTATTTTTAAATATTTTAAGTATTTTTAATATTTATATATCACACTTAAAAAGAATATTTTGCCAAAAAAGAACATTAATTATACATTATAAATGTTAATAGAAACATTCTTCACTATTCATCTTTGATTTTGTCAAAACAAATCTTATAAACGGTGAAGTCAAAATTTTTATCGTACAGTCTATCTATACTAAAAAAAGGTAGATTCAAAATTCTTTATCTAATTCCTTTTTTTTCTTATCTAATTCATTTTTATTATCTAATTGTATAGAAATCTGTTCTGATTTTGTGTAATCCTCTAATTGTATTTGTATCATATCCGATAAAATCGGTTTAACAAAAAAAATCTCATAACATCCGATAAGTAAAAAAAAGTACGTAAAATCTTTATTAAAATAAAAAGGCTTTATTTATTATCTAATTTATTATCTAATTGTATGGAAATCTGTTCTGATTTTATATTACGTACTACAAATTGTGCACCCGTGTTCAGGAGCTACTTAACCGGCAAGCTATGTGGAAATCAGGGGCGGATCCATATGTAGGCGAGCCTAGGCAATTGCCTAGGCTCAATTTTTTATACTAACATAGTTAAAATGTGCTAATAAAAATTTTTATGTTTAATATGTGTAAAAATATAAATACAAGTTTTTATATTAAAATTTTAAATAATTCTAACAAAACATTATTGTTTTTATTTAAACTGATACACTTCACCGGTCAGATTCGATAATATTATAATTATAACATTTTTAGTACTTAGTACTTATACTATATAATAAGATTATTGATAAATTTATTGTTTTTCAATTATAATTAATAATTATTTAAATTTTTATTGATAGAGATATGATTATTTTAATTTACATATGAAATATGAATGTTAAATTATATATTTTGTCAAAATATGACTAATTTAAGTTATCGTATACAAAAAAAGATAATATGTATAAATATTATGGGCTTTTAAAATATATTTATAATTTAAGTTACCAAGCGTTTAAATTTGGAAGTTATGGATAAAGATCTATATTTGTATGGACTATTTCGAATCCTTAGGAATTAACATATAGAATTACAAAGTGTGGAAAATTGACAATGAAAAACTCTAAATTTATTTAAAGAAGATAATTCATAAGAAATTTTTTATAAAATAACAAGAATTAAAGTGATGACATTTAAGCTTTTATTAAATTAATAAATTATATTTCAAAATTACTTGTTTATTTCTTATTACAAAAAAATGAATGAAAAAAGGATCGTAAAATATTTTTGGTATATTTTTTAATAATAATAAAAGTGCAAAATAGAATAAGCACACTTCATTCTCAATTTCATTATTTAGCATCAAGTTAAAGGCAAATTAAATAGGTAACCCCTCAACACCCGATTATTTCAATGATTTATTTAATTGTTAATATAAGTACTTTGTGTTATATGGTGAAAAATTTTTTCGAACTATTTTTTGCCTTGACTCATGAAAATTTCTGAATCCGCCGCGGGTGGAAATAACTCATTTAGTGCTTCTGTCCTGTGCATACGGTATGTATTTGTATTACACATACTAAAAAATTGTGCACCCCGTGCATCGCACGGACTCTGTACTAATAAATGACCTTAAAATTGTGGACCCCGTGCATCACCCGTGTTCACATTTTGGCCTATTACAGGTCACGTACTATATATATCATGTACATTTTTCTTTATTCATTTATATAATTATAAAACTTGATAAATAGCCTTAATTTTGTGCACCCCGTGCATCACACGGGATCTGTACTAGTATTTTGAAACATGGAATGTATTTTTTAATTATGGCTCAAAATAATCATTCCTTAATTGACGTTCATTTCCACATCTTTTAATCAGCGTTGTTTTTAGCCAGAACATTAAGTATGAGCATGTTAGGGCTAACTTGTAAAATAATTAATATATTATCTCATTAAAATACTTATACTAATAAAAATTTAATTTTAGCATATAAATTTATCTCTTGATATAAGAGAAAGTAATAGTTTTACTTATTGTTATTCACTATATAATATTTAATTATTTTTTTATTATATAATAAAAATGAATAATGTTAAATAGTGTAGTAGAATTATTATAAAATTATATGAGTTATTTTTTTTACAATATGAGTTTAATATCTTTTTATGATTTGATAATATAACTATAATATATTCTTAATGATATAATAAATATGAGATTTTTACATAATCTATGGATTTATTCTTTAATGTTAAGATATTGAATTATGTAATATATGATTCACTAATTTGTAATCTGTCTCTTTTTATATTGAAAATAATCATATGATTGAGTAGAGATAACAATTATCTATAAATTCTTTCATTTAAGGAATAATTTTTAAATTGGTCCAAATGTTGAATGCAGCCTGATTTTCTTGTAATTAAAATGAGAAGAGATTTTGAATTTCAAAGTTTCACTTCAAAACCACACGTAAATTTGGACTAAATTTTTTTCGTATTGAATTTCTTCTGAAAAATGTAAGTTTTGTAAATTTATTTCGTAAATTTTAGTACGTAAAATTTTGGATTAAAAATATAATGATTATAAAAAATATGAATGATTGATCTATATAAATGTAACCCTAAATTATATATAATCATTATATGTTTAGATCATTACCTAATAAATCTGAATGCAATATAATGAATCAAAAATATAATCTATGTGTAATAATAAAAAATCTGATCGATTATATATATAAAATTAGTATTTTACGATTAATCTATGTGTAATAATAAAAAATTTGATTATAATGTCTCCAATCAATACCTAATAAATCTGAATGAGATTATTACGGTAAGTGAATTCATAAATTGTCTTCCTCAAAATATTTTATAATGATTATAAAATACTAGCGTGTGGCCCATGCGATGCATGGGAAAATAATATTTTGATTGTATTATGAATTAAATAAATAAATAACATTAATCATGATTTATCCATTATTTTTAAATTAAACCAGGTTAGACACAGTCCGACCGGATGGAACGAGAACCGGTTTATAACCAGTCTAGTGCGCTTGAATAAAATATTTGCTATCGAATCCGTCAACACCAATCTGTTGGACTGGTATGATCGATACGATTTTCTAAACAAATTTTGTTACATTAAAAATTATTTTAAATAAAATTACATATTTAAATAAAATAGAGATTTATAAATTGTTTATCAATTAGTTTGAACATTTGAATTTATAAATTGTTTAGATCTTTAAGTAACACTTTTTATTTAAATATATTACAAAAAGTACAATATATATATATATATATATATATATATATATATATATATATATATATATATATATATATATATATATATATATATATATATATATATATATATATATATATATATATATATATATATATATATATATATATATATATATATATATATATATATATATATATATATATATATATATATATATATATATATATATATATATATATATATATATATATATATATATATATATATATATATATATATATATATATATATATATATATATATATATATATATATATATATATATATATATATATATATATATATATATATATATATATATATATATATATATATATATATATATATATATATATATATATATATATATATATATATATATATATATATATATATATATATATATATATATATATATTAAAGTATTATGTATTAAAATCTGAAAAACGACAGATGATTTAATAAAATAACTTGATCGTTTCGATGACGGTCCGGTTCTGAAAACCTTATATTTATCGTACATTAATAAAAATGATAATAAAATAATTATTTTGTTCACATAAATAATAGTAAAATGATTTATAAATATTCATAAATCATTAATCATGTCGTCATAAAAGTATTGTTAATATGATTATTTG